TAGGATGGTCCTTAAATGTAGGGAGGAAATTTTTACATCAGATTTCCTAAGCCTCAACTCGTACGTCGATGCTACTATAGTCGAAGATACCAAAGTTCAGATTACCCTATGACGGCGTTTTAGCCAACTTCAATTGGGTATTAAATGAAAAAAAAATTTATTTTAATTTTTTGAGGCCCCATAGAGGAATCTTAACTTTGCCTCCTGTGCGACACGCCTTAACCGTCTCCAATGGAGACCAAAATTTATATGCGATATCTATGACAGTGGTGTTACCGATTGAAGGAGTGAGACTGAAAAAATCTTGTATTTTATTTTTTAAGGACCACCCTACATATGCATACACATTTTTACTATTTTTCACCAAATTTCATATGCTTTCCAGTTGTAAAAACAATATAGCAAAACACATTCACGCATATAACACACACTTTGGAGCGTAAGATGAGCATTGAAACTGGCTGATTTGTTTGTTAATTGCTTGTACATAGGCTGTGTGTGTTGCTCTGGCCATCTTTGCATTAGTGCGATAAAAATCATCATTATACAATTTTATTGCCGCCGTAATTATACCGTAAATAGGCACATAAATACGTACATTGTATGTACACTTAAAATTTATTATAATATCAGCTGTAAAAGCGTAGATGATGCGGTTTTTTTTTCTGTCTGCTTTTAATTGGCGAAGAGGCACAAGACACCAACTAGTCGAGCAATCAATTTTTAAGTTTCTAAATCGCAGTTTTTGTTTCATAAATATTTTTGTTTTTGTTGTCTTGGTTCGCTGTCAGAGTCAACTCAGATGACTGAGGTGGCAATTTGTATATTAATGTCAAACAAAGCTACCAAGTTCAGGCAAGTGAGTTCATTATTACCGCCATTAAACAACAATAAAACCGCCAGTTAAATTAAAGTGGTAGCAAAAAATTTGGTAGTGTTGATTTCTGTCACACGCCCAACACATTATTCGGCTTGCAAATTTCTAACAGTTTTCGTATATATGTACGTATGTTTGTACTACTAAGCTTTTGCTTTCTTCGTCGCGTAGATTTTCTTTACTATAGCTCTGATCCAGTACTCCGTGAATTTTTAGGTTTTTACAGGAACTTGGAAAAATTATCCCGTACTCCAAAATCCTGTAACTGAGAGCGATTTTTGGAGATTTGTGTGTAGAGAATGAGGTTGCAAGATTTTACCCGACCTTTTTCTTCCTGTAAAATCATGAAAAGTGTCGAGCGATAAGCTGTTTGACTAATTGAAAGACCTGCTAAAGAGGAGGTCTTAACGTTATGCTGTTCACATTTTAGATATAAGTTTTGTAAAAATTCAATAAAATTAAAAAAGTAAAAAAAAAAAATAAAATTGTAAAAACGAATAAATTAAAGAAAATTAAATAAGAAATAATAATATGGAAAACAAAAATAAAGCAAAAATAAATAAAAATATTTTTAAAAATTAAATGAAATTAAAAATTTGTATGCGTATATTTTTTTGTTCTTTTTAAAAGAATAAAAGCTAAAAATTAAATTGGAAAAAAATTTATCAAAAACGAAGAAAGTAGTATTTAAAAATTAAATGAAATTTAAAAATAATTATTTTAATTTTTAAAACAATTTAAATTAAAGTAAAATTAAATTGAAAAGAGACAAAAAAATAAACATTAAAAATAACATTCAATCCTAAAAATTAAATGAAATGAAGCAAATATATATTTTTTTTTAATCAGAAAAATATAATAATTAATAGAAAATGAAATGAATCCATGAAAACCAAATTAAATTAAAAAAGAATAAATAAATAAATTAAAGTTGTGAAAATTAAACTAACGTAAATTTAAAATATAAAATCCAAAAATTAAAAGAAAATTAAACTAA